GTTGCATACATTTCATATCCATCAATTTTCATTTCGCTTGTTTTTTTATCATCAAGCCAAGTTTCTGACACAGCAATTATTGTAAATTTATTAAATGCAGTCAAATATTCTTTGATTTTGGTGAATTTTTTATAAAGACTTCTACTATTTATGTGTATCACTGAAACGTGTTTTTCAGTTCTACATTTGTGTTGAATTGTTTGTCAGTGTAATACTCAGAGTTTGTAATGCTGTAATTATGATTGAAGAAATTATTGTCTGGATCCAAGTTGTTCTCTGGGTCGAATGTCTTGTGTTCAGCATAATCAAAGATTTTAAAGTCCATGTTTGTGTTGTATGTTTCCTATGTCATTTAAGTCAAAGTTTATGTCTCGAGGTAATAAGCTCTCAGCATGTTGAAGTCGAGCCCGTTGAATTGGAGTACTAGTGCGGGGGTGGACGATTAGTTTGTCGTGCCTCAAGTAGGCAATTTCCCCTCTTTCACGTGCCGCTTTTAGTTTAGGAAGCAATTCTTTTCTTTTTTGACGTACAATATCTGTATAATCTTCATTAATGTAGATTTTGGTACCTTTTAAGTATTTTGCTCTCTGTAGTATCATTGTTTTGTCCTTATATTTTTCAAGTTTCACCACTACTGGTCTTGGTCGAAGTCTTCCCGTTTCCTGTCTCCCTATGCGGTGGGCTCTTTCCACCTCGATTGTCTCCTTTAATTGAAGTTTACGTTTTGCTCCGTTTCAGTCCACGTTTCTCCTTGCATTTCTTCAATTCCATCGATTATCAAGTATTTTTCTTTTAGATAGTTCCTCTAAGTTGTCCATCTTGTCGGTTAAAACCAGCATACTGTCACATACTTGAAGATTTCAGTTTGCATGGTTTTGCATTGGTCAGATACATTCGTTTGTTGTTTTTTGATGTCATCGATCTCCTTTTGGGTGAAATTAAGACTAGTTTTCAGTTCTTGTACTTCCCTGGAAAAGTTGTCGAGTCATGTGTTTGTTGAGTCCAGTATCATCTTTACAAATCCTTTGAAGTGATCCTGTTGTTGCTGGATGAGTGCTGTGAACAGTTCTTTTTGTTGGGTGAGTAGTTCGTTGACTTGCGTAAGTGTCATCAATTCTTCATCCTGTTTAATATATTGTCCCCTTTTGGGAGGCATTTTTCGGGTTTCATTGCTGGCCGGCTGTCAGCTGGTTGAGGATGTGTGCTGAGGTCTTTCTGCCAACCCGGATGTTGCTGATGTGGCAGTGGGCCTGTGGCCTCCCCGGACAACACCGCTGCAGCGCTCGAGTCCTCTGCCGCCGCTGCCGGGCCAACCGTTCAGCAGGCTGGCCTCAAGTGGTGGTGGCTCCAGCCGCCGGCGCCGTTCCCAAAGGGCCGACCGCCACTGGAGCTCCGAAGAGCCCCCCCGCTCAACCACGCCGGCCGGCCACCGCCCGCCCACACCGCCACGGTGGTCGAGTGCGCCGCGCCGCCACCAATCAGCAGGAACACAAAACGGCCGCCACCGAAGGCCCGTCGATCGCGATCGCTGAAGCCCCAAACGAACGTCGCTATCGCTCGCTCTCGCTGGCCGCCGTCGCCGCCGCCGGGCTCACCGATCGCTGAAGCCCCAAACGAACGTCGCTGTCGCTCGCTCTCGCTGGCTGTCACCGATCGCTGTGTGCGTCTTCGTTTCGAATCTGATCTTCTAAGTCAGCAGTCTATTGAATTTTATTTTGTCTCTCTCAAACTGGAGAAGTTTCCTGTATTTCTTCTCCTCAAAAGTGGATCACTGCAGTCCTGAAAAGTCAATCACTGCCGTCTGTTGGTCACAGTTTGTCATTGCAAACCTCTTTCAGATGTTCATAATACCAGTAGTTCTTATTTCCCTCGAAAAATCAGCAGTAACACATGAAGGCCGCCCTCTGTTTCCACCTTGTGTATGGCTCTTCTTCGCTCTCAAACGCAAGAGCCCTCTTTGGCTGTGCACAGCAAGTGCCGAAAGATTCCCTCTGCTCATCAGAGTTAGTCACGTGTGCACCTTCTTCAACTGAAATAGAGAAACTAAAATATAGTCGCTCAGACAGAAACGTTTCATCTCTCTCTCGCCATCTCCCCATCTCTGCATTCAACCGTTTCATCAATGGTATTTTGTCATTGCAAATCAGACACACCGCAGAACCCGTTCTTTCCACAAAGGTGAATCCTTCGGTCCATTTGTCCCGAAGTCTACCAAACTCGTCATCTTTTTTTCTTTTCGCCATCTTATTCGTTTAGGATTAGCTTTGAGCTAATGGCTGAGCGGGTTGATTCAAAAGGTATTGTTGGGGGAAGAGCGGCCTCCTCTTTCCCGCGTGTTCGTTGAATTTCGGACGAGGAGAATGTTGGTAATCCAAATAAAGGCTGGAGGCGATGTACAGTTCCTTCGAAGGGTTTTAATTCATTTTCTGCAGTTTACGAATCGATTCGGGCTCCTGAGGGGTCCAGATTTGAATCAGGAAGCGTAGAAGAAACACATTCATGAGATTATATAGAGACAATATGATAATGAGAGGCGGTTAGGTACGCCTCTCATGCAAATCCCGGAAACAAAGAAAGTAACATGACATCTGACCCGGT